AAGTACAGACTACACTATTAATGTTAAACTAACGAGAAGGGGGAAAGCAATAAGGAAAACAGTAGGTTTATATATATATATAGAGAGAGATTAAACCATCCAATTAAAATCACGTATTACTGCATAACTTAAAAATGTAAATGACTATATATTAAAGTCATAAATCATAAAAAAGAAACCTTAACAACTGTTGATTTTTACGAACAATATTCGTATATAATAACTTTCAAATTTGTTACAATTTATTTTATGTCTTAAATATTTTCGTTTCCTGTCACGTCTAAAACTATAAGCATAATTTAACGTGCAAAATCTTCATAGTTTTGTCTCTGAGCTGACGAATGGAAAGAAAATAGAACAAACAATGAAAATCTGACGAGAAAATAGATATGTCGCAATCAAATCTTACATCACTTGCCTATGGGATTTTTTTCTAGTTTTTTTTTGTAAACTATAAATCAGTTCAGATGTTATAAAGCCGTATACTTCTCTATCTTTTTCTAATGCCCCCCCCTCCCCCAGTGGCACAGTGGGATGTCTGCGGACTTGCACTGCTAGAAACCGGGTTTCGATACCCGTGGTGTGCAGCGCACAGATAACACACTGTGTAGCTTTGTGCTTAATTACGAAACAAACAAACAAACTGTATATTGGCCCCCTATTGGCTTAGCACAGATAGTCCATTGTGTAGCTTTATGCGTAGTAACAAAGAAACAACTACCGTAAATTTCTTATCAAATGCAGTTTTTTTTTTAGCTCGGAAGTACAAAGTTTCAACTACGATTTTAACAACCTTGAAAGTTGTATTAAAACTTAGTCCCACCTTATAATCCCTCAACTATAAAATAGAAGATATATTTTTATAAATATATCACAGAATCAAGCTCGTGATGTGTCGATACGAGATATAAATAAGCATGTTATAATTAAGGTATAAAATAGACTCTTGTATATATCACAGAAGCAAACTTATAATTGTTCATAACGTGCCAGTATGAAACGTAAAAAAAAACGTACCTACTCACCTGCCCACATATTAAATTAAAAGCAAAAACTAAAGAAAGCAAGTAGTAGCTTTTAATAGATTATCACCACATTCACAAAATACAATGAAAGTACAGCGTTCGACAGAAGAGTCTCACCCGTTAAAATCTGTAGAGTTTCATCGTATTATGTTTTTAAAAGTGATACGATATTCTAAATTTCTCATTTAAGATTAATTGTAAATGTAATTTAAGCTTATCGTCCATTCAGAAAAGTAAAATTAAAAGAGAAATTCCGCTAAATGCTATTATTTCTTACAATAAAACGTTTTCAATAAGTATTATTTTTACTGATATGCGTGTAATTGTCATATTTGCTTCCAGGTATTACATCGGTAAGTCTCTAGACTTATAACGCTAAAATCTTGGTTCCAATACCTGTCGGACTTACTGCGCCAGAGACCGGGTTTTGGTTGTGGTGAACATAACACTGAGAGCCCATTGTGTAGCTTTGTGTTTAACAATAAACACATAAAAAGTTACCATATCATTAGATATGTGAAATTTCAAGACAGTTTTTTTAACGCAATGGTAAAGTATACATCTATTTTGTTTACACATTTTAACACTAATACATTAAATTCTGTAAAAACAAAAGCCATTCTGTATGAATTTCTGTGTGGTATTCTAGAGTACCAGGTATATTTTATAATATTCTACATTCTTGACTTCGTGCACATCATAAGAACTTGAAACATCCAATCCCATTGTACAGATCGTCCCCGTGCACATCATAAGAACTTGAAACATCCAATCCCATTGTACAGATCGTCCCCGTGCACATCATAAAAACTTGAAACATCCAATCCCATTGTACAGATCGTCCCCGTGCACATCATAAGAACTTGAAACATCCAATCCCATTGTACAGATCGTCCCCGATTTCCACATTTACTACCGACAAAACAGCTAATGGAAATCAAACAGTGTTTTGTGAACACATAAAATAGTTTTAAGTTCAATAACGATCTGCAGCAGTTAAAATATAGTTATTAATGAAAATTCACGTGAGAGGCAGTGAAGAGCGATAAGATAAAACTTAGTATCAATACTATTATTATGTTTTATCATGTTTATAATGCTAGTTTTGACATTGTTATCAATACCATTGTTATGTTTTACCATGTTTATAATGCTAGTTTTGACATTGGTATCAATACCATTGTTATGTTTTACCATGTTTATAATGCTAGTTTTGACATTGGTATCAATACCATTGTTACGTTTTATCATGTTTATAATGCTAGTTTTAACAGTGGTATCTATACCATTGTTACGTTTTATCGCCTTTATAATGCTATTTTGACATTGTTATCAATACCATTGTTATGTTTTACCATGTTTATAATGCTAGTTTTGACATTGGTATCAATACCATTGTTATTTTTTATCGTGTTTATAATGCTAGTTTTGACATTGGTATCAATACCATTGTTATTTTTTATCGTGTTTATAATGCTAGTTTTGACATTGATATCAATACCATTGTTATGTTTTATCGTGTTTATAATGATAGTTTTGACATTGATATCAATACCATTGTTATGTTTTATCATGTTTATAATGCTAGTTTTGACATTGGTATCAATACCATTGTTACGTTTAATCGTGTTTATAATGCTAGTTTTGACATTGATATCAATACCATTGTTATGTTTTATCGTGTTTATAATGCTAGTTTTGACATTGATATCAATACCATTGTTATGTTTTATCGTGTTTATAATGCTAGTTTTGACATTGGTATCAATACCATTGTTATGTTTTATCATGTTTATAATGCTAGTTTTGACATTGATATCAATACCATTGTTATGTTTTATCGTGTTTATAATGCTAGTTTTGACGATATCTTAAGTGAAACTTTATTCTACTGTAAAAACAAAAACTTTCACTTCAGCTAAATCGGGTTAAACCATCTTTTCGTTATGATAGCCTAGACCTTGTATAATATAAATTCCACAAGAAAGTGTCGTGTTCGATTGTAGACAATTCGTCTACTTTGTTGGCAGATGAACACGGTGGTGAAAGTGACCTTCGAGTTCATCTCAAAGACGTTCAGTTGGATAGAGATCTAGCGAAGAAAGATGACCGAGTAACTATCTGGCACACGTATGGGGCTGATGCACTATCATCGTGGAAAATCCCTTGTCTATAAGAGGGGGGGGGGGCAACACAGTATTAAAGCACCGAGCAACTATCTGGCACACATATGGGGCTGTTGCACTATTATCGTGGAAAATCCCCTGTCTATAAGATGGGGGCAACACAGCATTAAAGCACCGAGTAACTATCTGGCACACGTATGGGGCTGTTGCACTATCATCGTGGAAAATCCCTTGTCTATAAGAGGGGAGCAACACAGTATTAAAGCACCGAGTAACTATCTGGCACACGTATGGGGCTGTTGCACTATCATCGTGGAAAATCCCTTGTCTATAAGAGGGGGGCTACACAGCATTAAAGCACCGAGCAACTATCTGGCACACGTATGGGGCTGATGCACTATCATCGTGGAAAATCCCTTGTCTATAAGAGGGGGGCTACACAGCATTAAAGCACCGAGTAACTATCTGGCACACATATGGGGCTGATGCACTATTATCGTGGAAAATCCCTTGTCTATAAGAGGGGAGCAACACAGTATTAAAGCATAGACACGGTTGGCAACAATATTCACGTGGTATTCTCCATTCTAACGAATCAAATGAGCTAACTCCATTACGTCACCTCCAACAGCTTTCAAGAACTGTCAAACGATGTCTCCATTCTTCCATCAATACAAAACATGTTGAAGTGGATTTAGCAAACTACGTCACCCAACTCCGTTTATTTGATTTCCACAATCTCCACTACAAGTGCAATTAAAGAAATCCTTTACTTTTTTTTGCACATGAGTTAAATGATTTGATTTTTGGACTATTGGTGTTAAAATTAGGTGGATACACCCAGCTACAGTTAACAATAATTTTTTATTTGTTGAAATAATACCATAGTAGCTCATTCACCGAGACCCAAAGCTAAGGAAATGAATTCCCACACTGCCTGTAGTTCGAATGAACTCCTAGTAATACAGCTATTGTATAGATAATGTACAACTACTGCGACCAGTGATTTCTCAGATATCACGATATTTAACTTGTAAATATATTCAAGAATTAACGGAGATTCGTCCACGCTTGAGTGAAAAGTGTCATTCAAAGTCTTTAACTTGTAATAACTTGGAAAACTAATTAAGGTCTACAGTTTAAAAGACAGAAGAAAAAAAAACAATAAACTGGACGCACGAAAGAAGGGTAAAGGTCTAGAAGCGATCGAGATCAAAGGTCATTACTGTAAAAATCAACATATGTTTATTAATAATAATTCTAAGAAAAAAAAATGTGAAAATTTTTGGATGTTTTCGAGCAAAATTAAGTTGTTGTTCTTTTTTCTGTTCAAATGTCTTTACGATATTAGACGTCAGGTAAAACTCAATCTTTTATTCGTGTTTCGATTACGCCCTTTTATCAAGGCTGCAACACAGGGTCATAACCGAAACTCAAAGTATAAAAACTCATACCAATATATACTGATACATGAACAAACAGATATTAAAGTTACATTCCCAAGCAGAGTGCAACTTTATTTGTATGTAGTGTACTATGATAACAACAGTTAAAATCATGTGTTTACATTTAATCCTTTGCATTCATTGCACAAAAACAAAATTTCAAGTTAATACAAAATATGTAGCTAATGACAACATTTATAAATGAAAAATTGTACGACACATGGTAAACCACACATATTTTAAGATTTGAACCGTTACCAATGAAATAAACTGAAGTAATGCAAACCACAAGAAATCACAAAGGCCTACTAACACTATAAAACTTACCATTTTCTGGGTATACTTTGGTTAGTAATTTTAGAATTTACCTGTACAAACATAAATCAATTTGTGTGCTCCAGGTAAATTTTAGTACCAGTGGTACTCAATGACAAGTTATGAGTAGCTTAAAAGATTTCAGAAATAGAACAACACATTTGTGCATGCAACAAATTGTTTAAGTACATAATATACACATCACTAAGTTAGCTACAGATGATATATTATAGAATATTCATCTTTAAAGCAAAAGCTTAGATACACTTCTAATCTTGAACTTAGTTTTTCTTTCAAACAGATCCCTTTACTCTATTCATCTGTCTTTCTGTTGGAGACTTTGGGTCTGTACCCAGAAATTCTATTCAAATCATTTTCTATCTTCACATACCCAATATTTTAATTTTCTACATTCTTTATTCAATTTTACACCTCCCAATATCTAAGCACACTCACTATGCTCTATAAAGATGCTATGTGTTGAAGCAGTTTCGGTTTTACCCATCAACTTACACAGTAGTCATCATGTTATCTGAATAGCTTACAATTATTTTATATTTACCCCAGTCAACATTAAGACGAAAGGAAACAGTCACTTCCCTATTTTATGCAACCTACTTCCCTAACTACACCTGAGATGGTAAAGAACAAATAAATATTACTACCTTCTCCCCCAAACTCCTAATAAGCACAATACATTTAGGAAACTTGGTTTTGTTCTAAACTTGGAAAACCGAGAATTTCACTTAAGAAACAACCTCAAAAATTACAATTAATATCTCTAAACAAAACTGATGCGCAGAGGCTTGAAGTTTATACATTTTTGCCTAAGTTAGTGCCTGTAGTATATAATAATACAGTATTATATGCAGCAAATGTACTTAATAAAGTTTTAATTTGGCACTAATCACACTCTCTTTTCATACAGTTATACATTAGGATAAGATTGAGACAATTATCAAACTATAAATTTTAGTTGATACAAAGTCTGAGCACAGGACAGTGAGTCAAGCTCAATATCAAGCTCCAATAACATCAAACAATAACAAAACAAAACTCAATTTTAGCAGAGCACTATTGTCCTGATCTGATGCTCATAAATCATTTAAACTTAGTGATAAATTAACCATACACCTTTTAATACCAGCTATAAGTCAAAACTATCTCCAACACATCTGCTTCGCGGTAGTGACGTCAAACAGTAGTATTTCTAAGCAACAGCCCACAGTAAAGTAAAACCTTAATACAGTTACTGGAAGTGGGTGCAGCCAAATACAGGTCTGCGAGTGATCAGGGGGATAAAATCAAGGTTGAAATAACAAGATACTTCTTTATCAGTAGCACTGGCAAAACGGTCCTCAAATAGTACAGACTTAAGTGCCTTATTATTAATATTATATATCTTAGGTTAAAGAGGAACTCAATTTTACAGTTATGTTTAGTGTGTTTTATATCTCCATACGGTAAATACTTAAGTCAATGTAATTTACAGTGGTAAAACTGGTCCCGATATCAATAACTGAAAAAAAAAAAACTATTGTATTGAGTATTGTACTTTGCAGGGCGTGGACCTTACCTCGGCTGACGCTCTTCTAGCCCTATCATTCAGAGCACACAACCAAGTTTCGACGAGTAAATTCGTATTACACTGGGCGTACACCCAATTTAAAGAACTGTTGATCCAGTCTACACTGTTTGGATCCGATCCTCGAGTTTCTGGACTATGAGTTTGAGGAACACTACAGTAAAGTCGATTTGGGTCACCATCAAAACGCTTTATCCCCTCGAGCTTGGCCACCATCGCTCTCGTTTCCACCGCGTGTTTAGATGATGGTCCGTTTACTTCTGATACACGTTCTGGGGCACCGGCGGAGACTTGTTTCTCGCTTTTAGTAAGCTCATCTTTTTCATTACTTTTAGTTTGATTTGGACTGGCCTTTTCAAAACTATATAACGTTAGAAGTTTTCCTAAGACTAATATGACGATGGCGAACAGAAACCATCCGAAAAAGTTGATATTCACGATGTTCAACATTTCTTTGCTTTCATCTGTGTACAGAACGTTGTCAAAGTATTCCACCATATGCACCCAGCTTTCGTTCAGCCGGTATATAATTAGCTTCACGGTAATATCAACCATTTTCAGCGGATTGGACAGTTTCACATGCGTGCGCACGAAATACAGATGCTGCCGCTATCGAATTTCACCTCGCACCGTTCGCTATACGATATCCGGACGCTTGGATCAGTTCTGTGGGCTCGTGATTACAGATTTAAGGTTTTGTTTTATCAGCGCCACATCGTGGCTGTATAAATAACTACTATTCGATAAAATCACATGTAAGTCGTGATAACACTATCATTTTCATCTCACATCATTTTTAGGTTTATGATAAAGTTTATAGTTTTATGGCCCCTGTTAAGTTACATGAAAAAACAGATACTAAACTTACATTCCCAAGCAGTGCCCTGTTGAGTTACATAAACAAACAGATATTAAACTCACATTCCCAAGCAGTGCCCTGTTGAGTTATATGAACAAACAGATACTAAACTTACATTCCCAAGCAGTGTCCTGTTCAGTCACTTTCACTGCTTGGGAATGTAAGTTTAGTATCTGTTTGTTCATGCAACTCAACAGGGCACTGCTTGGGAATGTAAGTTTAGTATCTGTTTGTTCATGCAACTCAACAGGGCACTGCTTGGGAATGTAAGTTTAATATCTGTTTGTT